TGTATGGCGTTAGATCATGGCTCAGGAAGATACTTTGGGCACAAGAGCATTGGAATACCTGCTTCGGGGTCTTAAATTTGGCCAGCTTTCCGGCCACCCATGCCTTGAGATCCGCCTCGGTTGCAGAGCCGGCACTCTTCAACACGACCGCGGCTCCAATATCCTCTCCATAGTGGCCCTCATCCGGGATAGCGAAACAAACTGCTTCCGCAACCTGGGGATGAGACAACAGCGTGTTGTCAAGCTCGATGGGGCTGATCTTCTCTCCGCCCTTGTTGATGAGCTCCTTGATGCGACCGGTGATGATAATGTAGCCGTCGCGGTCCTTCTTCCCCTGGTCGCCCGTGCGGAAGAAATTGTCCTTGGTGAAAGACGACTTGTTGGCTGCCGGGTTGTTCAGGTAGCCCTTGGTCACGTTTTCGCCACGGACGCAAATCTCCCCCTCCTTGCCCTGAGGCACTTCCTCGCCAGCTTGGTCGAGGATCTTGACCTCTACGCCTTGTCCGATGCCGACACTGCCAGGCTGGCGTTTTCCCGGTGGGAGAGGGTTACTCGTCATCTGGTGGGCGGCCTCTGTCATCGCGTACGCTTCCAGAACGGGGGCCTTGAAAGTTCTTTCCAAGTCCTCAAAAGTCTTGGGAGAAAGGGGCGACGAGCATGAGCGGATGAATCGGATCCTGGGAATGGGGTTCGGCAGAGGAGTCTTTAGGAGGATCTGGTGGATCGTAGGCACAGCAGTGTACCAGTTTGCCTGGTGAGTCACGAAATCTTGCCAGAACTCCGAGGCAGAGAACTTGAGAGGTACTATAACAGAGCCTCCGGAAAAGAGAGGGGCGAGGAAGCCGGCCAGCAGCCCATGAACGTGGAATAGAGGCATCACCAAGTACGTTCGGTCCTCGGGAGTTAACAGATATGTATCCCGGATATTTTCTGTGGTCGATCAGTGAAATTTCGACCATGTCAGACTGTGTTGTTCACTTACTCATAGTTGTGGCAAGGTTCTTGTGTGTTAAGGGGACCTGTTCCCATATTACGATCAGTATGATGGTGTTCGTTCAGGGCTTAAAGGGCCATACAGCTTTGGGTCTACCAGTTGTCCCACTGGTGTGCAAAACCAGGGCAATATCATCAGGCTGTGCTTCGAGGATACCAATGCTGCCCTTTCCTGCCAGTTTGCCCAGTTCCTTGACGTCCAGTACAACCTCCTTCCCATCCCAGTAACACTCCGCGATAGCAGCATTGTATTTCCTACCAGCCCGCACAGCAGGACCACTTTGGGCAAAAGCGCCCCGTGGAATCAACACCAGGCTCGAGCTGAGATCGTCAATATAGAATTCAAACTCATCCTGCTTGTATGCTGGGTTGAGAGGAGCTGCGATAGCTCTCTGCCATGACGTAGCCAAGTAAGAGACTATGAATTCAAAAGAATTAACGAGAGCCAGTGATACTGCAGCTCCATGGCCGACCCCCAGTCTAGCAAGCTTGGCTTGAAAGTTGGCGACATGGGTATGAAGCTGTTGGTAGGAGACCGATAAGGCCGACGGCTTATGAGGGACTATCACTGCAACACTCGGACTGTCGGGCGAGAAGGACCGAGCTAGAGTGGCCATCGTTCTTATGGTGTGTCTTGGCCGTCAGGGGTTATTTACAGTGATGGAAAAGATAGATATCTAAGATAGATTATACAGATTGAACACGGGAATTCTGCGGATACCACACGTATCTTACGCAATTGACGTAGATGTGCCATTATTTTATATCCATGATGGTCAAGCCCATGGGTCCTCGGACTTAGTTGCGAACAATCGTCGTAGGCCCCATTATTTTCTCGCTCTTCCTTCCCTGTCTTTTCCTCCTTTCGAGCGGGTGGCACCGGGTGGCTTATGTAAGGTTGAGGCCAAACATAGCAAACAGTGCAAGTCGAGCAAACATCGTTATGCATGGAATTACTCCGCATCTCCAACTCTTCAACGATCCTCATCGCAGGGACAATATTATAGATCTTGTTCTCCGTCTTCTGTATTGAACTATCACTGTTCTTCACCTACGTCTTATCATTTTTATTCATGGCCTCGGATTCTACCCCTTCCAAAGGGGGAGGCCTGTCTCTCTATGCCAATCTCCTCGACCCATCATCCAATGCATCCTCTCCTGGAACAATCTCTCGCGCCCCGGTCGTCTTCAAGCAGGCTTCGGAAGGCGACTCGCAGACAGATGATTCAGCTGCCAAAAAGCAGCAATTAAGTGCTGGTAGAGCTCATACCCTTCTTTCGTGATCGAGAAGTTCTCTTCATGTATCCCATTTTGACGATCTGATTGCTCACTTGGCCTTCTTCCTCTCTTCTCGGGTATTCAGCTTCTCTTCGATTTCAGCCTACGAAAAGACCGCAGCTAGCGGCTCAGAAGCCTAAGCCGAAACCAGCGCTGCCCAAGTCGACCCCTGGCGCTGCGTCTGCGCCGGCTCCTCCCGTGAAGACCACCCTTGCGGACTGGGCAGCAACCGAAGAAGACGACGTCAATGGATTCTACGTTGGTGAGAAGAGACAGCGCGGCGGGCGTAAAAAGCGCAAGAAGAACCGGGAAGCGCAGGCGTTCGTCCAAAATTGGGATGACATCTACGATCCTTCAAGACCGAACATCTACGAAGAGTATAAGCATAGTGACGAGCAGATCGCCGAGGTGCGCGAGTGGAAAGATCGCCTCTACGCACACCGGATGGCACGATCGCCGAGCAGGAACTCGTACAGCGACGATGAATCGAGACCAATGAACAGTATGCTTCCCTTTGCATGGGGTTCGAACGTTACAAATGCTCACGAACTTTTGCAGGACAATTTGCGCCTCCGCAGAGTTTCGCGCCTCCGCCTAATCTTAACGATATCCCTCCTGCACCGCTTGATGAAGCCACAGGAGACGATGCATTTGCTCGACGCGCGCGCATGACGGCAGGTCAATCCGATACATTAATGTCTGGTCAGACGCCGCCTCCGCCTCCGCCTTTGCCAGAAGAGCCACCTGCTCCAATTCCGGATGATCCTACCGGTGAAGATGCCTACCTGAGACGGGTGCAAATGGCGGCTGCAGCTCAGCCTATGCCGCAGGCGCCCCCTCGGCCTCCGCCTCGGCCTTTGGATGCGCTGCAGCCAGCTTCTGCCACAATCTCTCGTGCGCCGGTCCGATATACCCTGCCTCCACCTCCAGAAGATATTCCCGCCACAGAAGCGGAGCTTGAAGAAGTCTTTGCGAAGGAAGAGCCTGCGGAGGATGCACCCGACGAAGAAGATGGCCAGCGCTCACTTCGACCGGGACAAAAGGGATTTGCTGAGAGGTTGCTGGCGAAGTACGGGTGGACCAAGGGATCTGGCTTGGGTGCCACGGGGTCGGGTATCGTTAAACCGTTGCAGGTCAAAGTCGAGAAGCAAAAGAAGCGGCCAGACTCGGAAGGCGGTGGTTTTGTTACTCCTGCTGGCAGGGGCAAAATCATTGGCGGTAAGAGGAAAGCGGAGGAAGAGGAGGGCAAATTCGGCTGTATGAGCGAAGTCATCATCCTCAAGGGTATGCTTGACGGGATGGATGTGGATGCTGAGCTCGAGGGTGATCAAGACGGAGGGTTGATGCAAGAGATTGGTGAGGAATGCTCAGAAAAGGTACGCTTCTCTGTTTATGACTGGGTTGCTACCATCTAACACTAAATCAGTACGGACGAGTGGAGCGTGTCTTTATTTCCCGTGAATCTGGGCCCCCTGTGCCGGTCTTTGTCAAGTTTACTAACCAGTTGTCGGCTTTACGCGTGGGTATTCCAGAATTCAGAAGCCATCCATTCCGGACACTAACAAAATCTGTCAGGCGGTGAATGCCCTGGAAGGCCGAGTGTTCAACGGCAACACAATCACAGCCCGTTTCTACGACACTCAGAAATTCGAAGAAGGGATATATGACGACCGGTAGCAAGCATAGGAGCAAGGAAACATGTACAGCACATCCACGGGTTTCATTACTAGTCAGTCGATGCAATGACTCGGTTCTGCCTTCTGAGATCATGATATCTGCTGCGATAATGACTGGGTAGATGAACAGTATGAAACTATATGCAGATAAGATGATTGCGCCCAAATATTTGACTCCATCCACATTGTTGCGGACTTTTGAGTCCTTAAGATAGCAATCTTGCGCGTCATCAACTTCCCGACAGCCTTCTTGTCTGCCAGCTCCCTGCTTGGGGTACTATGCGGTCCAGACTGAGGCTCGAGGCTTCGCGTGAAGTGTTGCTGGCGTTGCACCAGTGGCAGGCTCTTATCACTGCGAAAATCAAGGTCTCATTCGTGTCGCAGTCATAGCCAAATCTGACTACATGAATGCAGAATATGTGAGAGCAGTAGATGGGATTGCTATGTGGCAAGGGGATGGAGAGTGACATCTGTGAATCCCAACAAAGAGACAATCAAGCACTCAATGCTTGTGTCGCGCAACAAGAGCCTGAGGCAAGGAAGCATTGGTCCTTGGATACGGCTAAGATAGATTCACCTTGCTCTTCTTTGTATTGACTATTCTGAGTGTATAAAGACTGAACAGCTTGGTCATCCATCTGACCACTAGGCAAGAAATATCCCTAATTACCTTATTCTATTAACACAACCTGGCGGAAAACATGGGTACCTTCATGCTTCCATTCCCTTCCGCACGTTGGCCACTGGAAACTACAGAGTCACATGATCATAACTGTGAGATTTATCAGTGGAGACCCGATTGGCTGTGGGGTATCAAATCCATTAAGCAACACTGGAAAAGCCTCATCTGGTGGCCATTCACTTGGAGCCTCTTAGTCTGTGACTCTGTCTCTTTCCTCTCACTTCCTCCTTTCTTACCAGTCTCCATTCTCCCTCCCTATATTTCCTCCGCGACGAACCCTCCTTGGTCATTTCCTCCAAGAACTCGCCGTAATCGCCTCTTCGACCTAAAGCAAACCTCATCCTGCAACCAATTCACATCACCGACTCACCATGTCCCTGTGTTTAAACCGCCTCACAGAAGAACGGTATGTCCACCAGCCCAGCTCACCTTCGCGCCGCGCAAACACATCCACGACTCCGCATCCGACAAGAACCCAGAGACTAACAACCCCACGCGCAGGAAGCAATGGCGACGAGACCACCCGTTCGGCTTCTACGCAAAGCCTCATCGGACACCTCAGGGCGTGCTGGACCTGAAGCGCTGGGAATGCGGTATTCCGGGGAAAGCGAATACGCTGTGGGAAGGCGGTCTATTCAAGCTGGACGTTGTCTTTCCAGATGGTAAGCCTGCCTGTGCCTGTGCTCGTGACCGGTCGGTCCTTGTATAGCAAGCGAATATGCTGACCGTCTCTCGTTTCTGGAAATAGAATATCCGACCAAGCCGCCAAAATGTACGTATTTCCTTCCGACTGCTGGCATCATATATCCATATACATTGCCACCTCTTCCCGCATCCATATCCGAGACCGCTAAACTGACGTCGCAAACGATACAGGCAAATTCGTCCCCCCACTCTTCCACCCCAACGTCTACCCCTCGGGCACCGTCTGCCTCTCAATCCTCAACGAAGAAGAAGCCTGGAAGCCGGCCATTACAATCAAGCAGATCCTTCTGGGAATCCAAGACTTACTCGACGACCCGAACCCAGAGTCCCCCGCGCAAGCCGAAGCATACAACTTATTCAAGAAGGACCGGCCGGCGTACGAGCGGCGCGTGCGCCAGGTCGTCAAGGAGAATCCTGCTCTCTAGAAGTCTGAGATTTGTTATGCGGATGACGCGATGAACCTTCCAAAAATCTCGTTTTCTCCTTCGGTCTAATCAATGCTCTTAATTTACGGTACGGCGCCCATCGCATCGCGGCCACTCCTAAAACGAAGGGCAGTTGACGCTCATTTTCATGTGATCTAGTCGCATCTGCTTGGTTAATATCCCCTTTCTGTCTTCCAGTGTCTCGGTTTTTTCTTAGCGTGGCGTTCTCAATTGACAAAAGCGAACGGCTCCAAATGGATGTTGCTCTCTTCTTCTGTCCACTTTTTTCACTACCTAGTCGCGACTTCATCTGTGATTTGTAACGCACATAGAGGTCTCTGAATTGCCCAACCTGTCATCTTCCATGATGCCATGAGTAGCTTCGCAGGAAAACAAACTCCCACGCATGTGTATCCTGGCGATATGTGCATGCATGTGTCCGATCTGATGCACATACACGAGCTTGTGCTATGCCCGCGACTTGTTTGTACCTACTGCGGACAATTTCACGCAGATCTTACAAAGTCCGCATAATGTCAAGTACATAGCCGCGATCTAATGAGGGTTGATTGCTTAAGAGGCACATCCCACACCGTCTCGCCAGTAGATTTAGTCTTGAACGTTTGTAAGGTTGCTCAAATGAAATTCGATTATTATCATAAAAACAGTCAAAGCACTGCAATCAAAAAAAAAAACCATGGCTTATTAGACAGCTCTACACACCCCGGGAAGGAGTTTTGAAAAACAAACAAAACCACATGCGATTTCCTGGTATCGGCCATCCTTTACAAAACGTACTGCACCAGAGCTCCAAAAACGGCGGCGAATCCGAGAGCAGGGAGGTTAGCAGCGTTGAGATCAGCGGCGCTAGACTCGGAAGAGGAAGTAGAGCTGCCACTGCTAGTGGTGGTGCCAGAAGATCCATCCTTGGTAGTAGGGTTAGGCTCGGCAGCCTTGCACTTGTAGGTACCGCGAATGATCTTGTCGTCATGGGCCTTGTTAAAGGTGGCGCAGCTGAAGTTGCCGGTGCTCTGCAAGTTGAACTGGCCCTTGACGTTCTCGAGCTTGGGCATGCTCACTCTGCGATTTGATTAGCATGTTGTGCGATATTTCGGCAGGCAGGAAAAGGTCACTTACTCGTCGAACTTGCCGCTGAAGTCAACGGCACCAGTAACAACCTTCAGGGAGGGCAGATCAATGCTGCTGAGCTCATCGTTGCGGGTAATCAGGAAACCACCGTTGACAGTCTCGAGCGCTGGCATGCTGATGTTAGTGAGCTTGCTGTTGGCGTTGAAAACCAGGTCGCCAGTCTCGGTGAGGTTGGGAGCACTGAAAGAGGTGAAGGCGTCGCCCCAGAAGCCAAGCTGACCAGTCAGGTTGTGGAGAGAGGGGATCGAGACAGCGCTGACGTTGCGGAAGGTCATGTTGGTACCACTGGAGAGGTTGGGCAGCTCCACTTCAAGGGAGTTCAGGTTACCAGCAAAGTTGATCAGGCCAGTTGCGTTCTTCAGGTTGTTGATGTTGATGGACTTGAGCTGCGTGTTCTCGGTGATGTCGAACTTGCCAACGGTGTTCAGCGAGATACCGTTCAGGTTAGCCAGACCGGTGTTGGTGATCGAGACATCACCGGCTTCATTGACACCCTTGGTGAAATCAAGACTCTGAAGCTGGGGCAGAGCAGTCCACTGGATCGATCCGACACTGGTAAGAGACGGGAAGCTGAGGGTGGTCAGAGTGGTAAGGCCATCCAGCTTGAAATTGTCGGCGATGGAGTTCAGCATAGGCGCCGCGATGGAAGAGATGTTGGCGCCACCGGTGCAGCTGAGGGTGCCGTCAATCTGCTTCACGTTGTTGAAGGTAATAGCGCCCGAGATGTGCTCGTCGATCTCAATGGTACCCTTGATGGTCGAGCAGGAGGCGTAGCCGTCGGCATCGCTCTGGCTGGAAATCGTGATGGTCTCATCGGTCTTACCGCAGTCTGTGCCAACAATCAGCTCCCACCCTCGCAATTTCAGATTCGTTGGAGTCAGGGGTGATGGTTCACTCACCGGCAGCAAGGACGGCCTGGGCTGCAGCCAGGGCAGGAAGAGCGTACTTGAGGAAAGCCATTGCTAAATGTTGTTTATACTAAATTCTCAAAACAAGGTCAGTAATGTCATTGGCAGGCTTCGCAGGCTGGCATCAAGTAAGGGTCCCACGACAATCCATCTTCACGAGCAGGAAAAGATAATGAGAGAGAAGATGAGGGGAAAGATAGAGGGAGAGAGATAAAGATGGATGTGATGAGACTTACCAATGTTCAATGAGGTAGAGATGTAGAGCGGGCGATGCTCAGCCCTTAAGAGGTCGATATGGGCGAATGGCAGTAGCTGCAAGAGTTTGGCAGACAAAAATAGATGAACGAGCGAAAGAAGGTGAGAAGGTCAAAACGAAGGAGAAGTTGTAAGCGGTGATTTCTTCAACGAAAGTAGACTAATTTGGCAAGCACGTTGGACGAAGAAGAAGAATGAAGGGAAAGAAGGAGAAGAAAAGAGAACAAAAGACTGGATGGAATTGATTGGAAAGGAACCTTCAAAAGACAAGGCCGTGGGAAAGGAAAGTGCCTTTAGGGAGGACAAGACAAGAAAGGAGGCGTGGCCCCAGCACCGGGTCCGGTAAACTTGATGGACATTCTCCTTGTAAGACACTTACTATTTTTTCTTTCTTAGGCCCTTCTCTTTTCCCACTGTACTCGGTAATGAATTCAGAGACTAATACCCTGGAAAAATACACAAGGTGCGTCACAAGCCAGATTGCACTCCAGGAATCCTGATTCTTAGGCTCGGTAATGAGGCCTTTGCTTCTAGTCGGCTCCATTCTGTAACACTGTCACCAATAATTGTGCTGCAATGCTGCCGATGATTCGCCCCGTGGCTCCATTCTGGCTCCATTCTGGCTCCCGTCATTTTTGACCATTCAAAGCGCACCATTCCCTTTTGTTTATTGTGGCCGCAGTGGCTGAGATATAACGTAATCTTGGACGTCGGTACCTTGGGTACAGAGTACGTTCCTGGCTACAATACAGTTGGTATTTGTCAGAACTTGTATCCATTAAGTGTTGATACTCCTTTATCCAGGAATAGAGGCACTTGATGATGTATTATAAAAGTTCTTATCTCCTTGCAGCAATAGTACAGAGTGCTAACCTAATTACATGAATTGCTGTTGGCCATAGGCCGTCGTCCAGGAAAATGGAGGGGTTTGAACTACTTCATGAACCAGTGAACAAGTACCTTACATGGTGAAATCCATACCATTGATACGACATTTTCTGAAATACACCAGTATTGATAGGTAACATTTTATAAATTGTTGTCCGTGGGCCAGACCCCTCAAGATAAATCCAAATGCAACATTGTAAACAAATAATAGCCACATCAAATCATTCAAAATTCATGATCCGTAAACACCAATTCCTTTTTCTATTAAGAGCACTAACAACATCTACAATTCGGTTCAGTTTGTCCAGGTCTAGCGGACCGTCGATGGAAGCAGCTATAGTTAATCAATATGTGTAAGGCATCTAGAATGTTATTGTTTCAGAAACTGGACTCCTTAGTAAGGAGCAAGCCCTGTCTGTGATGGCGAGCCAGCAAGCTCGGCCGCAAGACGAAAGTAAATAATATCTGAAATTCTCGAATCAATGGATCCGCTCTCCCGGCATGAGTGTCATCACCTGGGCTACGGATTATGGAATGTGAGAATATCGAAAGCCTCAAGGAGGTTGGGATTCAGAAATCCGTTGCGCCGTTTGCAAGCTAGATTGATTTATTGTCAATCCTCGCCACTTTCTGCCATGCAAATGATCCCTATTGAACGTTAATAGGGTACCATACTGTATTTCTCGGATATCTACTCCATAATATCGCAGTGTCTTTCTACTATGTATATAGATTGACTGTCTATGATTCCCTATTTCCACGATCGTCCAGCCACGCTACACTACGGAGTATGTTTTCATCATCATTATGCCACAAGGTCAGGCACAAGGCAAAGTAGGCAAAGGGCCATTGCACTAGGCGAGTCGGACATCAATTGAGACGGCCAGGCTAAAACCAATTAAGTGGCGAATATGCGTGCGGCCCGATATTGCTTGTTCCTTTCTTTGGCAAGCTCTGCGCGTGTAGCTAACTGTATACACAACTCCCAATACGCTGCACACGTTTGGCAGAGTCCAGAAATAATGAAAGTCCTAATACGAATTACTCAATTACTCAATAGCTCAATAATGGCATTCCTACCTTGAGGTTGATAGGAGTGTTATCCCAACCTAAGTACGGAGTAGGTAGGATCGTAGGTAACAAATGATAATGAAATAGTTCTGTAACTTACCAGTACCCATCGATGAGACTTCGTCTTGGTTAGACCCACTTAAGTAGGTTAGCGGATCCATGAAACAATCCTGCAATTGTGAGCGATGCCTCCATGGAAAATTCATGTGAGCTAAAAATATACAACATGATAGGGATGGCCAAGTCAAGCTATCTAAATTCTTCAGGTACTGTATATTTGTCAGTGATGGCTTGCCTGTCAAGTAAAGTATGGCTGTGCAGAAAGTCTTCATGAGCATGGCAGTAAGTAACCGTAACCAGTTATCTAGTCATTGTTTGGATACTTCAACAGATCATGATCTATAGAACAAGGAGCCACCCAATTATATGACAGAGGTTTATCAACACCAATTCTTCTAGTTGACAGCTCGCTTCATCTGGCCATGATATGTCTATGGGACCAATGATTCATAATCATTGATAATTGTGTCTCAGTCCATTGAGAGTTCTTTTCCCGTCCAACTGTTTAGTTGTTATTAGGAGTCGAAGAACACCACTGATATCCGCAGCTACTTGCATATCACAATAACGGATAAGCTCTTTGTCAGAACTTTGACTATGACCCGCTTGAAAATTACAACCAGCCCTCGTTCTAGCAATTGGACTATTTGATATCCTGTGACACTATCC